GCAGGACGACTAATTTGAGCACTCCCGACCAACCCTCCCGCCCTGATATTCTATCACCCATTCCCCCTTTTTGCATACAGTTTGGACTGCCCGTGGGGGCCGAAAACTTTTGCGGAGGGGAGGGTTGAGGGGGGGGGGGGGCATGATATAGATCTGCGCCAACCTCCGTCTTCCATCAACTTCCATGGAAGCTGGCCAAGAACATTTTGCCCCATGGAACAAAAGGCAAACACAAAAAGTCGCAAGATGCGCATGCCACGCTGCTGTCATGAAGGATGGAGGGGCACGCAGAGGAGACAAAAATACTGGATAGAAATTAGGACCACATGTATTGATGATGAGGAGCCGCGGAGCGCGAAGCGTGCCATTTTTCCCTTCACGCTCAATCAAGGAGGGAAGAAAAGGCTTTAAATATCGGGCTCTTTCAACCATCGCGCCGTAGAGTGCCCCTTCCGCGATAAAAAAACGTGAATAAATGCTATGTCAAATTACTTCCGCCTGTGGTGTTAAATGACAAGAGAATAACGAGGTCTATAGAGCACCGAGTTACGATCTGCTGGGTTGTAAGGGCTAATTATTGTTATCGACCAATAAAACACGAAAAAAAAAACGGAGCCGTGTTTTCTTAAACATATATGGAGGCGTTTTTCCCCGAAAACGTGAAAAGAAGGAGCCGGGATTTTTTGGGGCTTGCTACTTTCACGAATCCGTGTGTTTGACAAAGCATCGGACAAGCGCACCGCGGGCGCTGTAACATCACTGAGAACGCTAGAAAGACCTGCCAGACTCACGTCCAGGTCTGTTGTGGAGATGGACAAGCGGCAGAAGCGGCGTTCATTCCGTTCTTGGCCCAAAACTAGGCATTGCGTGGTGCTCTCGTCTTCAACTGCTGCTGTTGGTGCTTCAAGGAGGACGCCTCAAGGGGGTCCTCGTTTTGCGAAGGAAAGTGCAGTTATTTTGGTGTTTTTGTGAGGCGGGTGTGTGTTGTCCTTTTTTTTACGAGGGGGGGGGGGGTTTGCACGTCATCAATTTTCGCAGTCGTAAGGGACGCCGTAGACTACGAGAAAGAAAGAAGAAGGGGTCGCCATTGGCAGAGGGGGGGGGGGGGGGGGCTTTTAGGAGTCGGGGGACGATCGATGTATGCCGTTTGTGTATCCTCTCGTCTATGAAAAAACAGGACAGGGCAGGTCAGCTTTCCTTGTGGTATTGGTAGTGGTGGCTTGTCGTGGTTTCATTTCTTGTGTGGGTACGTGGGTACCCGATACAACGAGTGTAGATCGTTCTAATGTCAGGTGCCAAACGACCCTCGGCGTCGTTGATTGACAGCAGTCGTTGGTATGACAGCAGGCAACAAACGACGCGCAACACAAGTATGCATCTATCTGCATATGGTAAACCAGAGTGTAGTAAGGAGAACTGCGCACACTCTCACCAGTGGCGATTCAGCGTAAGACACTTGTCTCTGTCTACGCTTGTGACGAGGTGACTTACATCCAAGTTGCGAGCCACCGAAGTTGTTGACCTGTCTCTCCTAACACACGACTTTCGACTCGTGCGTGTAGAAGACATGATCAATGCTTCGAATAATATTGCAGCAGTGGAGCAGCTGCTTTAAAATAGGGGGTGCTGCCGCGCACTTGCCGCCAGGCAGTACATGACGTACGACATGAGGTGCGTGGCATCCACACCCTCGATAGTCTCGGGGGAGCCTGACAAGCACGCTGTGACAGCTGGCCAATCCTCTGCTGCTGCACCATCCTCCACTCGCCACACGGGCCGAAGCGACCATCCTACATCCTACTCCGGTCTCCAAAAGCGGCCCCGAACAGCCCGCCGTGTAAAAAAATGTTGCCTTTTGCAACACAGAGACCGGTCCAGTCGCATGCTCGAACTTGGTCCTTTTTGGGGACCTCTCTCCCACTCCTCTCTGTCTCTCTGTCACTCCCACGCCCTCTTTCCTTCGGTTGGGATGGGAGTCAATTCGCTCTCCCGCTTGTCTAAAAGCGTGGCTTCGGTCAGGATTGATCTTGAAAACGGACAAGGCAAACATCATGTCATCGTCGACGGCGGGTTCCTAAATCACCGCATGTGTTTGAGGGGGGTAGCGGCGGCAAATTTACTTCTCAACAAAGACGTCTCCCGTCAAGGAGAGGAGTGTGCCCGAGATATGAAGCTCTTTGAAGACCACAATTTCCTAGTGACGGTAGTGTTCGACGGTCGGCCGCCTCCGGTCAAGAGTGGGACATCTCAACACCGACGAGAAAGGAGGAAGAAGAGTGCACAACAGGCGCGCGCCCTACACGACGCCGGTGGCTGTCCCGTGGAGATCAACAAGTTGGCCAGCGCTGCTTGTGCTTTCAACGGTCGAGTTACCGCTGAGATCGCAACGCGCTCGAGAGCCCTTATCAGGGGGGAGGTTTACATCGCCCCAGGCGAAGCGGATCCACAGCTTGTAGTTTTCCAGGACATCCATCTCGCAACAGGGGCGAACGTGTACGTGTATGCCAATGACTCCGACTTAACAGTTCTTGGGGTACGGGATCTTTTGGTGGAAGTGGTCAAGAACGTGAGAGAAGAGCTTGTCGGAAGATGCGTCCGGCAGAGGCTGCTCTTCCAACCCACCGCATGGTCCTTCCTCCGGAGCGGGGATGCTCATGGTTGGCTGCGCCAGCTGCACGGGATACACCAGCCAGTTGACGAGGGCTTAGACTACACGCCTCTACCGGAACCGACCGCCCGCCGCCGCCTTCTCTTGTTCGGCATTATCGTAGGCAACGACTTCGCGAAATTCAAAAATGTCGGACCAGTTACTGCCTGCAAGGCTAGCTTTCGTTGACACCGAAAGCGGTGTCTGGGCGGCATCTTTGCAACCATTCGATGCGGTTGTGGGAGACCTGGCCTCAAGGCTGCTGGTGGAGTCCAGGGAGGAGGACACGCCTGCTGCGCGGCGTGAGTTTGAGATCCGACTGCGCGCCTGCCACACCATGGTTACACAGCCCGTGGTGTGGGACCCGCTGAGCGGCGAACTCCAACATTTGTCCGGCGCGCCGACCAGGGAGGAAATAACCCGCCATACAGGTCAGTGTTCCGCGTTTTTGTGTGTGTAAGAATGCTCCTCGTACCTAAGACCAGCTTTTGGTTGATGTTTCCCGACGTCACCCTACTTGTAGTCGGGCGCCAGCAGTGAGACCTTACACACAAGTAAAATGTGTCCTTTACACTGGAGTCTGCGTGCAGCAAGGAGGTCTGATGTACCTTCAAACATGCTTTCTACAAAGTAGATTTGCAGGTAAACCCACCAATGACCTCGGTCGGGCTTTGCTCGTCCCGTGATTACACGGCTCCCGCTGTACTGCATACTGTGTACGCCTGCTGTACTGAAGCAGATACATTTAGTGACGGCGTTGCATATACTATCGCCTGAACTCCCTTCACTGTCACGCTCGCATCCTGCACGTACAGGGACGTTGGAGCTATCCCCGCTGGCGTCCCGTGTGGCCCGGGGAGATGTCTGTCCGCTGACCGGGCGCGAATGGGACCCACCGCTGGGTACAGCACAAGCGAAGGGGCAGGCGGTAGGCGAGGATGCTGGCAGGCAGAAGAAAAGGGCAACACCCGAGACGGCTAGCACTCGCCCCCCAAATGCTAGCAGCAGGGCGTCTCGCGCTCGAGGTCCTCAAGACACAAACAACTACCGCGAGCACGGCTTCAGCAGACTCCCGGGGGAGACTGAAGATTACACCAAGTGGACCGTGCCTAAGCTTCGCGAGTTTCTAAGCGTGAGTAAAAGATGGGTTTTTAGCGACATTTTTTATAGAGAGCTACTGTCAGTAGGTTACTAGTCGGGGAGGGTAGTTACAGTTATGGCTGTGACAGAATATTTGGTCCATAGACTATTACTACTTCAAAATATATTTTGGGTAAAGAGTGCATCCTGTGTTGTAAACTTGGCGCTTCGTCATATTTCAGACTGCCGTTACTGGCTTCCGGGTGCGCCTGTCGACCATCCAGCAGCAGGTTGAGCGATGTACGCACACACGCTTACAAAAGAGACCACACACCACGTTCCGCTTTGCACACAGCGCACTGCGGCTGCTGTTAATAAGGTTCGGGGCGGATATCCCGATTGGTTTAAGAAGTACTGTATTTGAAATGGCCCCAAAGTGGTACCCGACAAGTTATCACAAGTTGTGCGATTTTGGACTGTAGTTAAATTGTTCGCGTACGGTGGGCCACGCTCAGAGCAGATTAAGTACACCATTGGCGCCGGATATGTGCAATTCAGCCCCCCTCGCAGTCTGTTTACGGTAATGGTCACGTTGACCACAAGTCAGATATTGATGTGCGTCAACCACTTCGTTACAGCCGTCGTTCGAACACGGGATTATTGTGCGTAGGGTAACAACGAACCTAGAATTTTTGGTTTCTTCGCGCTCTGTTCGAGGCAGCGGTGGGGTACGAGATGCACGGGGCAACTGCACGTGGACATTGCAAATTGTAACCGAAGATATGCATTGTTCTTCGCCTAAGATAAGCGGGTGGGTTTCGGTGTGCGTCATCAGCTAAGCATGAACGTATATGCGCCCCACACGCATGGGATTCTCCTCTTGTCGTGTGCATTTCTGCCGTCAGGTTTTTAGGTGTCTCGACACCGCCGGGACCAGTGGGTTCAAAAAAGCACTCCTTGCTCAGATGGCTGGGGATGTCGTCAGGCTGATTAGGAGCTGCGGTGTGTTGGACACCAACTTGGCGTTTCGCCATCCCGTTCCGGACCTCAGCTCTTTTGAGGAAAAGGAGGCCAGGCTAATGCCGGATCTTCCTGCGACAGGGCTGCGCATAAAGGAGTGGTCCGCTATGCGGCGGTATCTCCCCGAGATATCGAAAGCCGTCATCTCACGGTTCTTGGGAGAAGTGAACAAACTCGCCGGCGAGGGCTCGCGGCTCTGGTATAGATCGCTGCAGCGGGTGTTGGACATGGGGAACCTCAGCAGGTTCTGGGCCGTTCCGGCAGCGGGGGGCATTATGTGGATTGGGACTAGGTGAGGCACACGATATGCACCCCGCCTGGAAGGAGGATAGGCATACACTGCTTCGCGTTGCCGTCATATTGTTTCCGGTGTGTGTTCTAACGTTGTTATGTTTTGATGTTCGGATTACTTAGATGGAGTATGCTTGATCTAGTCCTGACGTACGATTCGACGGTGACAGCGCAGCATATTGCCACCCGGGCCTGTGTGCATCATGCGCACACGTACTTTCCGTTGCATTCGTGCTTTTCTGCCTTGACCATGTTTACAACCGTGTAGATGTTCCCGTCGGAATGACGCTGATGCCAACATCGTACACAAAACAAGTTACCCTCTACGATACTCGAGGGACAGACCCGGTCCCCCACGTGTTCTTGCCTTGTTACCCCGCACGTCATGACGGTGCGGTACGCTGCATTTCCTTGACTTTGTTTTCGATCGCTGCCTGGTCCGTCAACAACGTTGTAGTGGAGATTGAAAACTCGAAAATGAAAGACTGCGCCTAACAACCTTCCCATCCCGATGAAATAATCTCCAACTGATAACACACAGCGCGGGCGCCTCCTTCTCGGCCGACAAGGAGTACCGCGTCCGCATCAAACTACGAGTGGAAGGAGTGGATGAGAACGCACCCCCGACGGAGCAAGAGGAGAAGGAGGGGGAGGAAGAGGAGGAGGTCGTGGGCAATGACCCGCGGTCGGCGCAAACCCTGGTAGCCCTGGAGGTCATCGCGGCTCTCTGCGAATGTCCTGCAGGCATTAAGGGGGGGTGCTCCCACGCCGCTATGGCGCTGTTTTTAGGTAGACTGCTCCAGATGTCTGAAGAACAGCTAGCCACGTTCAATCCTACCACGTGTACGGGAATGGCATGCCGCTGGATAATGCAGCATGGCAAGGGTTCTTGATCGGCCAAACAGTGCGAGCTATACGGCATGAGTATGTCGGTAGGAACCACGGTCGTCCGGAGTGTTCGGGACCCGAAAGGGAATGTAGGATGGGACGACGACAAACAAGTCCACGCGAGTGGGGTTCCACCCATAGATCGAATGAACCAATTCAACCCGCATCCTGCCGGGGGAATGTGGGCCGCACGCAAAGTGTTCTTCGATGCTGGCGAGGACATCAGCAAACTCAAGAGGGACAAATTAATGGCGTTCGTAAATCACGAGAGGCGATCGGACCACCAAGAGGTGTGCCTGGATTATCTACCGCCAAGAGTACGCGAAGAAAACAATTCTGCACACTCTGCGTAGCCACGTTGAAAAGTGCTTGCCTGTGCATTCGTGAAGTGATTCTGTGTGTGTGGCGGGGGGGGGG